ACACGTACAGGCATGGGTATCCTGTGTGCGTCTAGACACCCTTTGTTTCCACCAGGCAACCGAAGGATTTTTTTCCCTAACTCATGCCCACAAGTACCTATGTACAAGAATATTTTCATTTCTTTAATATCTAGTGGATAACTTAATAATATTAACTGCTAATACAAAATGCGTAAAATGCCAGCCTTGCAAAAGTATTGCGGCTTTGATTTGCTTTGAACCTTTGACTTTCATTTTCTTTAGATACATTGCTTAAATATCTTCATTCAGAAGACAAACAGAAATCTATGAAACTTTCCATTTTACAAGAGCACAAGCTGTTAGAGTAAGTCATACACAGTTTTGAAGATTTCCCATAAAATGTTCTCAGTATTATTTGTGCATTTGAGGTGCCAAAATAATTTTGTTCAGTATTTGTTGCTTCTGCATGGACTATGGCTAAGTACAGCAATTTTACTAAGATTGGAATACATCCTGCAATGTATCCTGGGTCTGAAGGTTGTGCTAATATACATAGTTTGAAACTTAAGATATTTCTGTACTTTTTAATCCTGTCGCTGACACAGATACTGTCTATAGTTAGTCAATATTTTATATGCATATGTTTCTGTAAACATAATCATAAAATCATAGACTGCTACTTCTTGATTTAGGGCTGGAACAGAAGTTGTGTATATATGGAAGTATTATAGGAAAGTGCATATTTAAAGTTCATGTAGTTCAGGCTCTTATTTCCAGCAATAGTTGGATAGTAGCCCTCTGAATGTGTTTAGTATGTAGTGTTTTTCTTTCTTTTTTAAAAGAGTACTATGGAGTATTGCAAGTGAGGATTGGTGAAGTGAGATGGACGATAGTTTCTCTGTCAGCATATGAAATGAACTGAATTTAGATTTTTTAAAAATACTATTTTTCATCTCTAGGGATCTGACGTTTGGCTGGGAGGGGCCATCTTGGACACTTCTTACAGCTCTGAAATTGTTATGTCTTGAAGCAGATCAATTGTAAGTTGCAAATATTTGTGAAAATGACTGTTTTGAGAAAATACCATTTGGAATTTATTTATTTGTCTAATTTATATAGCTGCCCATCTCACAAAACAAGTGACTCTGGGCAGCATACTACAAGCTAAAACAATTAATAAAAACCATTATTGTTATTATTTATTAAAAACAGTAAAAACTATAAAAAACAAAGCTAAAGCAGAGAACAGTAGACAAAGGGATGTTAATAATAACAGCCCTCTCACCAGTTTACCCATCCCCTGGGTTCCCCAGGCCTGCTGCATAACCAGGTCTTGAAGGACCTCCAGAAGCTAAGAAATGATGAGGCAACCCTCATCTCATGGGGGAGAAGATTCCACAATGCGGGCACCACAGCAGGAAAGGCCCGCCACCTGAGACCTGCCAAATGTAGCTCCCTAGACAGAATCCGTAACATGCCTTCTCTGCTGGATCTGGTGGGATGGGCCGATGAAATTGGGGAGAGGCAATCCCGCAAATAATCCAGTCCCATGCCATGAAGGACTTTAAAGGTCAGCACCAGCACCTTGAATTGGATCTGGAAACAAACTGGTTGCAAATGAGCTTGTGAAGCAGAGGTGTAAAGTGTTCTACCAGAAACACATAACTGCTCACGCCGCTGCATTTTGCACCAGCCGAAGTTTCCGGAATGCCATTTTCTTACTTTGTATGAATGTCTGATGTTTTTTATGAATGTCTGATACATACAAATGTGTTCAAAATTCATGATTCTAGTACTTTTTGGAAAAAAGTATTGCTTGGAGATGTTGCTTCAAAGAAGAATGAAGAAAAGAGTGTGGATCTTGCAACAAAAATATGTATGTCATTGATGGAAGAAACTCAGCATGTACTTCAGAAGGTATTTTAATACTTACTTGCTCCAATATAAAGTTTGAGAATGGAATGTTCTAATTGTATTTAGTTCATTAAGATTGAAAAAAAAAATGAGATTCCACTTAAAATTGAAAAAAATCCTGTCATATGTTATATCAGCTTATCTCCAGCCAGTATAGATCAGGAATTTATAGAGAAGATGTTTGGCTCTGATAAATCTTCAAGAAGAAGGAACTCTTGAACTATGGAGCAGTGAAAAATGTTGGTTTACTAAACTCCTAATAAAAAAGGAATAGATGGGTTACTGATACTTTATTAGAGATTGGCATATGAGATCAGCAAAGTTAGACAGCAATTTTCCTAAAGAAATAGACCAGATTCACCCAAAACTAGATTTTCCAAATGTGTAAGGTTTTTTCATTATCCCCAGCCATCATGTAACTGTAATTATAGAATTGGAAGTAGCCATTTAAAACCATCAAGTCCAACCCTTTTTTAGTATAGGAATCCAAATGAAAGTATTTGTGATAAAGAGCTCCCAGCCTCTACTTGAATCTAGAGAAAGGAATACCAACACTTCTTTAAGAAATTAGTTCTACTGTCAAACAGCTCTTACTATTGGGAAGTTTTCTCTGACATTAACTAGAACCTGCCATCCTATCACTTAAAACTATTATTGTGTATTCTGAACAATTAGTGTATTTACATCATTATTTTTAAAATATTAAATGATAGTTTGATTTTATGAGTAAAAGTATTTTAACAACCAGAGAGTTTTAAAATATATTTTTGGTTTTTTCTTTTCAGGTTTCAGTCTTAAAAAAATATTGTGAACATCTTGTGAACCAGCTGACTTTGGTGGAAGCATTACATACAGAAAACCTAAGAATCTTGCAGATTTCATATGAGATTCTTCAGCATTTACCCTCCACAGCCATTTAATTTTCCTGAAACAAAATTGAGCTAGCCTCTGCAACAATAAAACAATTTAATATTCAGTATGAACAATCTGCAAAACAGAAACAGAAAAAACAAACAAACCAAGAACATATCTATCAGACTTTAAAGTCCTTTAATTAAGACTGCATTAATCCGAAGGAAAATGTATGTTGGGACAAAACAGTTTAAAAGGGGCAATGATGGGGCCATAAGAATCTATAGTCTAAATGATACTTTAGTACCGTGTTTCTTAACCTTTTTTCTCTCAGGACCCGTTCCCTGAGAGAAAATTATGGAGGACCTCAAAAGAGTTTTTGTTCGTATGGGTTATATTTATCAATATTTACTATATTAAAAATTAAAATTGATGCATTCGCTGCTGTTACTGCTTCTCACAATTGTTTGATGGGATTTTAATATTGTATTATTTTTCAACATAGGCTAGCAAATAATTTTGATTTGGTGGACCTTTGAGAGGGCTTGGGGTACTCCCAGGGATTTTTAGATCACACTTTAAGAAACACTTCTTTAGAGATACTCATTTAGTTTTCATGAGCCAGAATTTCTTTAGCATTGATGGAATAAGAAAAGCATTAGATGAGGGAAGTTGCTGAACTGGCTTCTGTGAGAAGAGGTGTTTTAAAAACCTTGATTGTTTTAGCATATAAAGCCCTGGAGAGTGCATGGCTTGAGGCATTGTATAGACAAGAAAAGGAGATTTGATCCTGAAACATACTGAACTATTAAAAAAAAATACAAAAATATGGCATGTTATTTATTCATACCACGATATGTATTGCTAATTACAACCCCTCCCCTCAAAGTGAACTTATTTCAGTACTTTGCATAAAGTAAGCTATGGTTAGACATTGAAAAAATTATGGCACTGTTGTGAGATGATCTTTATGGCCTAAAACATTGATAACTTTCTGTGTATTATATTCAATACAATACTCATAGCTATTTTTTAAAATTACATTGATAATGCTTCACCTCTGAAACAACATATTTTGTCTTTGCTTGTTTACTTATTAATTATTTAGGAAAGTCATCTGAATCTTAACTTCTTTTAAACTGATGATGGATTTAGATTCTGGCTGTCCCTTTGACACCTATATTGACCTGGAGTAGATAAGCTGGGATTCTTGGGAGATATGGGCTAGGGAAATAATTATGTGTGTGAACTCTCTGAAGTCTGTTGGGAGCCTTCGTTTGGTTCTTGAAAAACATTTAGTAGATGTAACTGCATCAAAAATAGCTTATATCTAGAAACACTTTACAGCTGGTGAATCCCACAGATCTGTTTTGCAATTTGTGGCACAGCTGTGGCTCAAGTGCTACCCATTGCTTCATGTATCTCTGGTTTCCTTGAATGCAGCAGTTCAAAGACTGCTTCATCTCCACTCCATGTACATCTGAACATTACTTTTTTTCCTCTCACCCAGCCCCCACATTTTGTAAATTTTGAATTTGTTAATAGCATCATTAAGTTCAGATGTGCAGTTTGCATTTTGACCACTGGAGAAGTTCATTCACAATTGCGCTTAATGTCACTGTAAAAAATAGCAACCTGATTTCACCTCCAGTTCTTTATGAAGCCTAACAAATAGCTGTTTAAGTTTTTCTACAGAAATTAATGTCAGCCACTTTAGTATATATATCTCAGAAGGATTAGAGAGCAGTGTTTTGTATATGGCAAAGCTAAATATTTGTATGTGATTTAGTATTTGCTTACAACTATTTTTTAAGAGTGCAAAGAAGATTATCTTTTGGAGTGGTGCTAATTTTAAATAATGTACTAAAGCAAATTGTAAAAAATATGTTGTATAAAAAAGAAAATATATGTCTTCTGCATTGTTATGATAGTGAAGACCATTTTGTGTGTCTTTGTGTGTGTGTGTGTTTTCAGCTCTTATGACTACGGTGCTCATGAAAAAGAGAATATGGTGATCTCAGAAGTTCCCTTAATATCATTTTACAGCTATCATTAGAATGGTTTTTAGTTTCCCAGTTTCAGCTATAAAATGGGGTAATCATTCATCATGGGTTAGTGCTTTTAGACCTGTCCATTCAGGAAAAGATAAGATAGTATCGACTTTCAAACTCAGTTAATTAAAGCTTTTAAGTGCATTATGAATGAAATGTCAAAAGATGACACTCACTAGGGGGAAAGATCTGTAAGTGATGTGGTCGGTGATTCGGTGTCCTTAGAAGTGAATTTTCCCTTAGAAATATGAAGCTGTGTAGAAGAAATGGGCATTTTCATAGCATGAAGTATATGAAACAATTTCCAGTATGCAGCATTGGTGAGCTTAGGTGAAGATAATAAAGAAGGAGGATGGAAGAAAATAATGTTATGGCAAAGTAAAACGTGTCTGGCTTGTTGAACTACAAACTAAATGTTGGCTAAAGTTGTCACAAGGATTGTAAACACAGGCTACAGGTCACATCCACCTAGAGCAATTTAGCTTTTGCACGAATTGCACACATAAATTCCTACTATCGTGGTGTACAGTCAAGAGAATCACAGATAGTTTGATAAACATAGAAGCAGTTTTAACTGTAGACTTTGAGTTGAATGTTATTATTACACACTGAAAAGAATCCCTGATCTTATTGGTGGTATGGACTATTCAAATTTGATTTCTGGAAAGTATTGTACAGTAGGTATGTGCAGAGTGGGGGCAGGAGAAATGAATGCAAGGTCAGCACAAATAAACACCCTGAAGTTGTGTGTATGATGGTAAATCATTCCAGGCAAAAGTCTGGTTTGTGTGTGGGTCTGTGCATGTGTGCATGCATGCTTTTGAGTCAGCCTTGACTCTGGTGACTACATAAACAAATGCCGTTTTCTTGGCAAGACTTTTGGAAGTGGTTTGCCATTGCCTTCTTCCTAGGGCTGAGAGAGTGTGACTGACCCAAAGTCACCCAGCTGAGTAAGTAAGGAGTAGAATTCATGGTCTCCCAGTTTCTAGTAGTCATGAAATTATTTTTTCCCTGATGGGGACAGAAATCTACTCTTTACTACCTGGATCGGATGCATCTGAGCTATGGGGTCTTTCATCTGTTGAGTGTTTTGTAGTAGATACTGGACATTGGGGATATAAGTGGAGGAATAGATGAGAATCCAAGGATTCTTCCAACTCTAAAGACTGCTGGGGTATTGGCATATTTAGAGTTATCTCTCTTTTTGGTACAAGGAGTGTTCTGAACTCCTGAATTAGAGGTGGGATACACATGAAATCAACAATAGAGCAGACTATAATTATGAAATACTTTAGTTCATGTATTTTGTTTTTTTTTAGGTACATGTTGTATTGACATATAAGCTAAGACATGGTTTGCTTTAAATATAGTTCATTAAAGTAGCCCAGTTTACAATACTATCACAACCCATAGCTTGCAAACCACAATAAATGGCTTTACACAGAACCATGTTATGAACATGGCATCTGAAACCCAGGCACCCTTGCTCATATTGAGCAAGTTGTTCTCTCAGCCTTGGCATCTGTTCTGAGAGTTTGCATGATGACATGTGCAGCTGCACTAATAACAGTAATGAACATGAAAACAAAAGTAATGAAAGAAAGCTTTTATATGTTAAGTATGCAAAGGAAATAACTTAGAATACATACAGGCTCCAAACTACAGGTGTTAGTAATACACAGGCATATATTGATAAACGCAAACGGGCTTTCTGTTATAAATAAAAACATAGGATTTGTTTCTCATAGATCAGGAAAATTCAAATTCTATTTTTTTTAAAAAAAGATAAGGTATTTGACTTCACTTTGTTTATGCTGTGTGCTAACATGTAATTAATCAAGAATATGTGGGAATTGTTTTCTCAGAAGCCACTAGTGTATATGCAGTACATATACACTAGGGGGTGTATATGTACTGCAGAGTAAATTTTCAATAATAATATTAAAATTAATGCCTAAATATATATTTGTTTGCTTTCTTTAAAACATGACTTTTTTCCCACTGATTTCTGCAATTCAAGACAGAGTAGACTATTGAATTCTGTAGTGTTCAGAAGCACACTTAAAATTTTTTCCAGTTCTTTTAAGTTTCTGGTATGTGCAGCTTCCTCAAAGTAGATAGCACTGGTTGTTTCAAGTACGTACTGTGAAGCTCAGTGAGAATTGGGATGACCTGGGTGCCAGTTCTGGACTACCAAAGTCAGAGGCAGCACAACACAAATACCGCTGCTGTACCTTTTTCATGCCCTGCCTGTAGACTTCCCTGAAGCAGCTGGTTGGCTCCAATGGGAAATAGAATATTGGACATAATGAACTGCTTCCCTTGATTTTCCTTCCAAATAATATTTAATATTACTTAATCTTAGAAGTGATATGACTGTAGAGGGTATTGAAGTGCTCTGAGCTCATAAAACTAAGGATTTGTGAATTATGGAATATGTCCCAAATTCAAGCATTAGCTACATTCTCAGGAAAATGAAGTTGATGTGCAAGCTAGTTCAAATAATAGAAGCTTGTCTACCATTAGTAATTACTCTGTTCCTATATTTTGAAGATCTTTCCAGGATCACAATTTGAAAACCACTGTTGCAACAATCGTCTTGTGCATCTAACTGGATACCAGCCTTCATATGAGAAAACAGCAGTAGAATCCACAAGCTATCTGCATGTACACTTAAGCCATATTTGCATATTCAGTTACTGTATTTTGTCTAGGTTATCCTGAACTTCAGTATGTTGCTTGGTTCTGATGCCCACCATTTATGGTTTGACTATCAAGCGATAGAAGTCTCAGTTTACTTATCTTAATCTGTTTTCAAGGTTAGCTAAATTGGGTTCTATGGAGGGAATCCATTTTTCTTCCATGTCTTCCTAGTACTATTAACCATTTCAAAGAAATGGGCAAAGAAAGCATATCAAGACTAAAGCTGTAATGCATGCGATGGGAAAGAATGTAGAGAGTTGCTCCTTATCTACTTTTAGAAGTAGTGTGAGGATATTAGATTGGCCATTTTGAGAAGTTGGTGGGAAGAGTGCTGTGAAGAACTCCCTTTGACTTCTTGAAAGGGCCAGTTTAGTTGCCAGCTGCTAGATATTTTTCGAATCATACATAATCAATCCCAATAAATCAGTGCAGTAAAACAAATACAGCCCTTTTCACCTTTTTGCTTATTTGAAACTTACACTTGTACGTATTCCA